CNTTGCATATGCTTTATGTTTATAAGATGTTTGGAGTGTTTTTTATTTTTAATTCCCAAATCAAAAATTCATTTTTTTTTGTTATAATAATGTAAAGAGAGATTTTTTTTAGCTTGACATGAACTTGCGCTGGACTCATTTTTTTATGACTTATAAATCATAAGCTTGTATTTTGGGATGATTAATTGGTTATTGGGTAATATGTAAAATATTTTTTTTCTAGCTTTGTGGAGACTGAATGGTTTAAAAAAGTTGTTTTTAAAAAAGAAATGGTTAGATAAGTAGATTGTGAACATTTGATTAGCATTTACAACTCTAGATTTTAATGGATTTTGATGATAATACGAATAAAGTTTTATCTTTACGTGATTAATTTGGAGCCCAATTTTTTGAACTCTGCATGTGAAAGATCTATTGTTATTTCATTAATTTCAATAATGAGCTTTTAGGCCCATTGGCTTAGAGTTTAGAGTTATAATTAGGTTTAGGACTCTATTTAAGTTGACAAATATTGATGCCTAGTGTATCTTTTGTTGAATAGGATTGTCGGCTTTAACCTTGGGCATAAAGTTTCTTTCTGAAGTATCGGCCTTAGGCTGGGCGGGATTCGTCCCGAGTTGTTTTTAAGATATCAAGTATCTCTTATTTTCGTTTGCTTTCATCCTTAACTCTATCAGGATTGGCCCTGTGTAAGATATCTATATAACATGGGCAAACTGAATTGTGTAGAGTTCTGCATTACTGTATGCACATGTTGAGGTTCTCCTGCTGATTTATTTGTGTTTGGTATACTTTTCTCACGACTTAAGATAATAGCACCATATGAGGTTAGGTTGAAGAAATTCGGTTGATGATAGTAGTCTTTTCTTTTTAGTGATGTAATTTGCAAAGCCTGTAATGTTTCTCTATAATATGAAAAAACTGAATTGATGGATTCTATTTTGTATAGAACAGTGTCTGAAGGTCAAATACATTCTTCTTCCTGTTGAAATGGGTTCTAACTTCTAAATATTGGAAAAGAAATTGGTAGCTGATTTGGTGCTTGAATAATTAACAAATTATTGTTTGCACTACTGTTACCTGTGTATAGTGTCCTTATCTATCATCTATATGGTTTGTGATTGTTGTGGATTCCAACATTTTCACATGTTTGGATCTTTTACTGATAATAATAGTAAGTCTTGCTAAGAAACGAAGGAAAGGATATGGAGGAGCAATTTATACTGAGAGTGCCCCCAGCCGTTGCTGAGAGAATAGAGCGTCTGTTGAACGATTCTTCTTCTTCTGAAGACAAATCCTTGGACTTGTCATTTTCTGGTGATATGCTGATTTTTCGCTTTGAACATTCAAGGTTTACCTCACATAGTGATTTCTTATGTTCTATCAATACTTCAGTGTTCATGCGCTTAAATATCACCAGTTTGTTCTCGTTCTTCTGACTTTTGTTGCACCTTTTTACATTTTATTTATTTATTTTGTTATAGATGATGGAAGGACTGGCAAATTCGTAATCGGGAATGACAGTTTCTCCGCATCCCTCTTGGATCTTCCCACTGTTGTAGAGTCTTACAAAACATATGACGACAATGTGTTGATCAAAACTGCAGATATTGGCCAGGTAGTATGTTACATAATTGTTCAAATTTTCCTAGATATTTGTATTCGCTAAGGTCAAGTTAAACAGTTTAAAGTCGTGATAGATGATAATGGTGAGAGAGGAGGGTGACAGTGCAGAAACAGGGGAGTACAGGCATGGGCTTACTCCACCAATGAGGGATGCTCGAAGGCGAAGATTTAGGCGGGAGCCTGACTTAAATGTAACATAAGATTTCCATTTATTAACGTCTACAAATGCGTGATGTTTATTTGTGATACATATATTTTATAATCTACGAGTACACTTATTAACGATATTGTGTTGTTTGGCAGCCGGAGCTTGTCCGTCGTGTCGAGAAAGATTTGCAAAACATCATGGCTGGTGGAACAGCTGAGAATATTGATATCCTTTTATTTCGCTACGCTTCATGTGTGTATGTCTTTCTATCTCTGATGTGGGTGGATAACAAAAATGCACTTTCTCTACTTATATAGAAGTAACAAAAACATTCTTTATTACAGCTGTTTTTTTTTTTTTTTTTTTGGTGAATGATAAGTATTCTAGGTTAGAGCATGAAGCTTGTAATTCGATGGTCATCCTTTGATACTCTTATAATACATCTCCATGCAAAAAAAGGTCTTGGTTATTAGGTATAAGATCCCATTAAATCTTGTCAAAATAAATAATAAAATAAAAACAAAAATTGTAATATTATTTCAAAATTTTAAAAACTTCTCGGTATACAACGTCATCAGTTCGATTTACAATATTCCCATTATGGTCGCAACAAAGAATTTTGAAACCTCTTCTTCTCTTAACTCTAGATATTGCAACATGAAGCTGACCATGACTAAATACGGATTTAGGTAGGTACAACCCAACGTTAGACAATGTTTGTCCCTAACTCTTGTTAATGGTCATCGCAAAGCACACCAAGAGGTTGATAATAATTGATAAATTAAGGAATAAAAATAGATTGTCTCATTTACATATAGGAGTCAATTTGGTAAAGTAAATAAGAAATGTAAATAGACATGGTTCCAACTGAAATGAAATAGTTACAGATAATTTTATTTCGGCAAGTAACATTGGAAAGCATAAATAAAATAAATTTGAGGAGAAAATTAAAAAATAAAATAGAAAGTTAAATACTTTTTTGGATTGTAAGTTGATATATGATAAAGTAAAAACAAAATTCCTCGTGTATATTTATTTACAAAATATTTTAAATATATTATCTTTGATGAATTTTTAAATATACAAAAGTACTTATTTCCATAATACTTAAAATACATGAGTAGTATAGTGTTTAATGTATCGGATACACTTATGCAAGAGTACATGTCTAATACCTTTGTTATTTGTTTCAGTTGGATTAAATATTAGAGTAAGATTGATGTGTTTGTTAAGGACGATAAGGAAAATTGTGAGAGGAATGATTTTGATCGATAATTTTTTGAACACATTAGGGAGGGCCGAGATATTAAGTTTGTAATGAAATCTTGATCTATATTAATCCAACCTATTTTATTGTGAGCCCACAACATATCGTTACAATCAAAACTTTGTTTTCTGGAAATGTGCTGTAGACTTTGGATGCAGTTGATGGAAAACAAGCTAGAAGAATTAATCACCCTGATGGTTTGGGTTAAGCAAACACAATAAACACAGCTTCTTGCTTGAATTATTGAAGTTCAATAACATGTTAGTAAAATAAAATATAATAAACTTTTTATCCACATAGAGCAAGCTTGCAATTGAACCACCTCATATGTTGATAGGACGCAATTGTATAATCTGTATATCTAATAACCCTCATGCAATTGACAAAGTATTTTCGATGGCGGGCAATTGTGTATGGCAACACAACCAAAGATAATCAACTGTAAGGGTTTAAACCACAAACAACGTTCCGAAACCAAGAGAAAGATCAATCAGAAATAAGCACTCAAGATGTGAATCACATCATTGACCAATAACACCATTTAGAACTAAAGATAATATAATCCATAAAGTATTTCAATAGCATAGGAAACAAACTAAATATGCAGTACTGTAGAAAAAAAACTAAATATGCAGATAACAATAGCAAATAATTAATGTATATACGGCATCTATATATTAGTCATTTACATATAGGAGTCAATTTGGTAAATTGAAGCTGATAGAAGGAAGCAAATTAAGAGTCAGAGATATATTAGTCACTTAGTATCACACTATGTAAGATTATAAAGAATTAAAGGGTTATATTAGTATAAGTGCTATGAAATTACCTAAGTTAGGTTAATAATATTTATAGAATGTCCTAACCTAAAATTATTAATTTATAATATCAATATTATTTGTCCAAACCAAATTACGAAGCACGATTCTTTGCCAAGTAGGATTCCGAAACACCAGAAGCAGCCACGTAAGCTCAGCGCATTCGGGAATTACATATAGGGGGGATTCTCTCTAATTGACCATAGTTTTCGTATATTCTCAGAAATTTTGAAATTATTTAAATTAAGGAGTACTTTGAATTTTTCTTTTTTAGTTTAGTAAAGTGTTTCCAAATTTTTGGAAAGATTGATAAATATTTTAATTTGTATATTATTAATGTTAAAATGGAAATAGGAAAAATATTTCCAACATGTTAAGAAATTGAAATTAAAAGTAAAAAAAAAAAAGACGTAATATTGGAAAAGGAAAAAAAGAATATAGGAAAGAAAAAAAAAATCATGCTTCATATGAACGAATTTAGAATAGTATACTTGGCTATTTATTTGACTTTTACCAGTTAATAGTTCTAATATCTAATTAAGGATATTAAAATAAAATAAAAATAATACCCATAAAAGAAAAAGAAACAAAATATGGACATCAAGATAGATGGAATGCATATCTATTAAAAAAGATAATTTATGTTACTTTAAAAAATTCTAAATATTTCAAAAAAATCATGGGTGGAAGAAACCAAAAAATTTCAAAAAACAATTTCATTAGTAGAAAATCCAAAAATTTGGGCGGAAATCTTTATATTTTTTTAAGTTTTTTCTTATTGCTATTATATAGTAATAGATAGGACAAAAACTGTAAGTTTGATAACTAACATTAGCGATGAGAAAAACAACAAGAAACTAATCTAAAATAGTTTAAAAGTCAAATAAATATATATTCATAACTTACGGGTCCATATTAACTTGGACGTAAATAAAATGGTCAGTTATTTATAGTTTAATAAATTACTCAATTGTTTAAAGTAAAAAAAAAAAATGGATAGCTTATACAAAAATAAATTCATTTTGATTAATGAAACAATATAAGTTTTATAATTATACTTATTGTTCACATAGATTTTTAAATATATGATATAGTTTTACCAAAATAATTATTTTATGGAATCACATTGTAGTTAAAATCAATTTCTGAATACAAATTATAAAATGACACTTATTTTAAAATGAATATAATGTAATTTATTATCATTATGTATACTGTACGAGTTGTGTACTAATTTGAAATAGACATGTTTTATATGATTTTGCACAATTTAAATTTTATATAACATATTTAATAAATTAATATAAGTAAATAGCATTATATATTAATTCTATATTTTTAATTTATAAATATTAATGAGTATCTCTTACACATGATATTCTTACTCATTAATCTATACTTATATTAAAAGGGGTACTATTTACCAAATTAAGTAGCCAGAAAAGTCAACAGCATTTATTGCATTACTATTTCCGTATTATATTATATAAAAGGATATTCTATTTACTACATTTATTATCCAGAAAAGTCAACTGCATTAAATGTCATTATTATTTTGGTATTATAATATTTTATTTATTTAATTGATTTATTTATTTGTTTTATTTTAAAAAGGTAAGTATAATAAAAAGATTTTAATTATAAAAAATTAAATACCAAATAAAAATGTAAACTTTGACTTATTTGATTATATTTGGTATTTGATTATACCAAATATATTTCTATTTAGTATATACATTAAATACTTACTAAAGTATTTATTTGTTTTATTTGTCAAAGTTAAGTATAGATTTGTTTATATTATCAAATCATAAAAAATATTAAATCCATATTGTAAAAAAAAATTCATATAATTTTATAACAATTCTTTTACACTATTTAACAATATTCTTTTTTTATTATATAATAAAATAATAATTAAATATTATATGGTGAACAACAATAAGTAAAACTGTTACTTTCTCTTATATCAAGGGATAAATTTATATGCTAAAATTAAATTTTTATTAGTATAAATGTTTTAGTGAGATAATATATTAATTATTTTACAAGCTAGCCCTAACATGCTCATATTTAATGTTTTAAAAGATGTAGAAAAAAAACTTATAATAACTCAATTGTTTTTTAGACTTAAACGTTGATTAAAAGAGGTAAAAATTCCTAATCTTTTAGACTTAAACGTTGATTAACACTATAGATTGAGAGCTTATATTTAGTAAAATTCCTAATTGTAATAAAAAAATTAATTTTTGCTATATTTTAGAATATCTTTAAATTCATTATAAAAAAAAGAAAAAAAAAACTACAATGAAAAAAACAAGTCAGCTATATATCGATTTGTTGTACTCCTCAAATCACATTCACAATTTGGCTACAAGAGACTTTAAGACTCCACTTGAATATTATAAAATTTTTATTGATTTGTTGTACTCCTCAAATCACATTCACAATTTGGCTACAAGAGACTTTAAGACTCCACTTGAATATTATAAAATTTTTATTGAACATCGTACAATTTCTTGCGTATTATAAACTTTTATTGAATATTGCATCTTATAATATAATATTCTCCAAATAAATATATCTCGCGGGTCACGTACTATATATATATATATTCCGTACATTTTTCTTTATTCATGTATATAATTATAAGTCTGGATAAATAGCCTTAAAATTGTGCACCCCGTGCATCGCACGGGCTCTGTACTAGTCTTTGTTAAGTGAGATTTCTAGCACTGTTGGGGTTCCATCAGTTTGGGGAACAATTTTCTATTTCGATTTTATGCTTTATTTCATTTTTTCAATTAAGTTGGACTTGTGGAAGAGCCGAAGCGGACAAGCCCCTACCCCATTTTTTCGTGGAATCATGGAGTTGGCTTTGGAGATGGAGATCGATTCCCCACCACAATCGCTGGCTGAAAAGTTTGAGAAAACCCTAAGAATAGAAGATGATGATTATGTCTTCGTTGAGAAGGAAGAAGAATCATCATCATCGTCATCTTCATCAGAAGAAGAAGAATCTTCAAAAGAAGAACCACCACAACAACAAAAACCAAAACAAGAACGAGTACCACGCGGTTACAATCCCGCTTCTGTAATCTAGGTTGAGCAAGAAGAACGACCCAAACAACTCTGCTTTGAGATAACCGACGAGGTCGCCAAGGATTTCATCCACCAACTCCACGAGAATCGGGTACGCTCTTTCGATTCATCTATCAATACCATCTGTTTCGTAAGGGTTTTGGGGTTCTCAATCTTTGTTCTGTTTGGGAACACCGCACACATACTAATAGAAAATGAAAAACGTGTAGAGATTGATGGTTGAGGATTTGATGTTCAGTTTGGCGAGTTTCCATGGCCACCTGATCTTAATTGCCCACTGTACCAATTTGGATATATTTCTCGGTTCACAATAGAGTTGAAGCCTGAAGATGTGGAATCTATGGTGGCGAAGTATTCGATAAAATCGACGCCTGAAGAAGTGAAACGTGCTAAGCGATTTCTAGAGCAACTCTGGAGCAGCTGGGTAGCTTTAATTTCTTTCTTTCACAATCTTTTGATTATTGCTAATTATATATATTTATATATGTTGAAAATATTGCTAATTCTTTTTTGGTGGAATTCGCTGTGGTTGAAAATATCTGTTATGTTTTTGTTCCTTGTTTCCTACTTACTAATATTATACAATATTGCAATAGGTTGATGAAAGTTGGCACTTGCGAAAATGCAAGTGAGAAATGTTAAAGTGTTTGTAATTTCAATTGTTTGCCAGGGTTATGATCTCGATTGCATTCCTCCTCATTGGTTGGGCTCTGCAGTTTTCCCCATAGAGTTGCAGCAGGAAGCAGCTCAGGCAAAGGAGGCAAAGGAAGCAGCTAAGGCAAAGGCAAAGGTAGCAGCTAAGGCAAAGGAAGCAGCTCGTTGGGCAATAAGCAAAGTCAATAAAGTGGCTGGGGTATGTATAATGTAATGTGAGTTTGGATGGATTACTTTACTAGTTAAAAGAGGTGGTCATGATTTTTTATTTTTTATTTATTTATTTATTTTTTTTGGTTCATTTTTTCAGGACATAGGCAAAAATGACATGATGTTGGAGCTTAAGAGCCTGGACAAGGCTGTGAGGGGCCTCTTCACCGTGTATCTTGTGAGCTTTACGGTGAAGGATGTTTTGGGAGATGCCACAAAAAAAGTGAGGGCAACGGTTGGGTTTGCACCGTCAGCTCCAGCTCCCATGCTGATGGAGTGCAAGCTTGTGCCTTAGTTGACTGTCCTACTACACTAGTACTCGATGACTCCACTTAGCATTTTTAATTATTTTGTTTGGTTCTCAGACAGTTTTGACTTTTTTATGTTCTTCCATGACCCATTTGACAAGATCATCATCTCATATGTATTGCTGGTTAGGGTGTCTGCTCATTTTCCTCTCCCGTTGAACTTATGAATTATGAGCAGTGGCAATCTGAACATGACTGAATGTAGAAGATTCCTACCTGGCATAAGTTGTACCGCCACCATGGATATCTCCCGGGACCTATAGTATAAGCATTTGATAGGAACCACTAAATTTTCAAAAATCAACTACATGAGCATGTAATGTGTCAAGAGTTTATAGCGGCTTAGTTCTTCTTTCCTGAAAATAAAACAATAGAAAGTACGTTAGTTATGGATTAGTGTGCTGATACCGTTTGTAATGTGTCGAAGCAATGACTGATACCATTTGTTGGATTTGGTGAAGAATGTCGATGATTGTGTGCCGAACGGAATCGAGAATCTAAGAAAAGAATCTTACAAGTAGTGGATCTAAAGTTATGATTCGAATCTTACGGATTAAAGACGATTTATACGGTCTACGGGACCCACGAACAGGTTTACTTCAGGATCTTATGTTGTACTCCTTCCTATTCATAATAAATGTCGTTTGAGAAGTTGCACAGTAATTAAGAATTTGCACAATAATTAAGGTTTTTTTTTTTTTTTTGCGAATAATAACCCTCATTAATGAAGATAGAGATAAGTGTTTTGAGAAATAATTAAGAATAAATATGAAAAGACGTAGTGTATTATTAGTTAAATGATGATAATAATGGAAAAATATTTACAAAAGATCCAAAACGACATTTATTTGATTAATGGTTGATAAAGCCAAAACCGACATTTAAAAAGAATAGGCTTTGTGGGCTGCTCGGATCTCCCGTCTCAAGTCTCACGCACATTTGATTTTGGGAGAAACGTGTATTTGTCATGTGGTGTAATGAGACAAGTTGGGTACTTTGTGTGTTTAAAGGCTACAACAGGGACCAAGAGGAGTTGATAAATTAGGACTCTCCGTGTAAACAGACAACTGAAGCTCGGGTTTCACCTACACTCATTGCATGAATAATAACCCATTCAACTAAAGATATTATTGAGCTTCCTAATTTGGCTCGGAATTACAATTAATTCGTCTCCAGATTTATTGACTCAAATATTCCCTTAATATTTAAGATCAAATTTTCGTTGATTAATTTAATTATTACAATATAATTAATAAACTTCTTGTATCGAAACCATTACCATTCAACCATCATATTGTACCAGAAATTAATCCTCTTGACATGATAAATCGTATTGAACTCATTTTGGGGATGTTACCAACCCGACGCACGGGGACACAGTGGTTGTAAATAATTTTATCAGAACAATATGCATTTAATAATATTATCCAACTACCTAGTATATTGACCTAGTAATTGGATTTCACTTTTTGGTAAATTAAAGTAATAAATATTAAATGCACATGACTGTTCATCATTTTACTGTTTAAGAATATGGGCAATAATTGAGATCTAAATTATTTATTTGGTCAGTAATAAATAATTTTATCTTCCGCGTTTCGTCCAATACATCCGAGATGTACTAATGCAATTCATTAGTCAATAACTAATTGAAAATTGCACTACAATCTTTCACAATAGTTTGTCCAAGTCAGGTTAACCACATTTTTATTTTACAATGAACCGATAACATGATTTTTTGTTAGACACATCGAATCATATTATCTACAATATAACATAACAGAACAAACACTTTTGACTAAACAAAAGCCAACAAAAGCAGGATAACAAGATTGAGAAGTTGGAGGTTGAATATCAAGAGCAAACTGAAGCATTTTGTGTGGAAGAACATTACTAACACTTTGCCTGTTAGTGGTAATCTTGCAAAGAGAGGACTTGAGGTGGATTGTATCTGTCATAGATGTGGAGATGGAGTTGAGACAGTTGAGCACTTATTTTTTCATTGTGATTTTGCTAAGCAAGTATGGCAGCTGGCCCCTGTGACTTGGAAATTTTGCTTAGAAACAACAACTAATTTTAGAGTTTGGTGGGATGATGTCTGTTCAGTGGACAGGAAAGAAATTTCTGAGGCTCGCATCCAGTTAACCACCTACATTCTATGGTGGTTGTGGAAATCGAAAAGCTTATGGTTATTCAAGAAAGAATGGATGCCAGTCAACATCATTGTTAGAGCAGCAGTGGCAGACTGGCAAGAATTCCTCAACAGAAGCAAGATTGGATAGCAGAGGAGAGCTGAAGGGAGTCTAGGTGCCTCGGTTTCAGTGGACACTTCTTTCTCCAATGCTGTTTTTTTTTTTTTTTTTTNATTTGTGTTTGGTGTAGCTTGGTTTTTTTTAGTTTGTTGCTGTAGGCTTGTCTGTGTGTTCTTGTGGTGATGTTTGATTGGACTGTGTGGTTGATGTATTATGTTGGGTTTGCTGTTTTTGTATAGGTTGCTTATTGGTGTATGTATATGTTAGGTTTGATGTTTTCTGTTGGGTTGCTGTTTTTGTTTAAGTTGGTGTAGGTGCATCCTAAGGGTTGTGACACTTGTTGTTGCCTTAGTGTTGCTAGTTTGTGTTTTTTGAGTCTGGGCCACCGATGTTTGTGTGGTTCTCCATTGCTTTGCGATATTGAGCAGCTTGCTCCCGGTTGTATTTTTTGTACATTGGTGATATAATATTTCCTATCGTTGCGAAAACAAAAAAAAAAAAGACTAAACATGATTCTCATTATAAATAATGGACCGAAAAGAAATGTGTAAATAACGCCGAGCTTTTAGTATACAAACTAACACACAATAAGTATTAGGTTAAGAAAAACTAAATTGCTTCAAATTTATTCAATGAACAGGGAGTGCGTGCGCGCGCAACAATGCATTTTAAAAAACAGAGGCATTAGACCATACAAGCAATTCTCCTTTTTCACACTTTACATTTACTCAGTAAGTTGCAAACAGCTATAATATACAAATTCTGTCAATTTGCAAGTGAAACCGATGAGACAAGTTTTGGTATAAACTATAAAATATAAGGTTGTGGAACAAATTATAACCTGGCTTAGACAATTGAAGTATCAATTGAAGTAGCAAATGTATTAAATACACCTCCTGGGAATGATATTTGTTAAAAAAGAACCAAAAATCACGGGTGTGTAAATTGAAACCAACACTCTTGATGCTCATAGCCAGCTTAATTAAGTTGAGGCCATCATCATCAGAACTCATGCAACACAAGGTGGAGCCAGGCATCTAGAAAAGAACCGCAGCATTTTTTTCTAAAAAAAAAAAAGATCAATGTATTAGAAGAACAAATTACATCAGCATATGGCGATACATGAAAAGTTCTCCTACTAGATTCAAATTTGACGAGGATATAACAGAAGGAAATGAGAACCGTCATAACAAAAATATGCCATCCTGGGATGATTTCAAGGAAAAATGTCATGTTGATATGGGAATGTTTTGCAAACACTAATGGAAAATCATATAAATAAAGGAAATGTCTCTGTTGGCTTTGCATAGGTGAAAACGAAAATCACAGTTTAGTAACAATGAAAATGGTTAGCTTTTGATTTTCAACAGCATGCAACCTCTTTGACTGCAGTAATCGCCCCATTTTACACAAATCGGTCATTAGTGTACATAACAATTCAACGGACGATGTACATATAAAAGAAGAGAAAGAGAAACAAAAAGAAAAGAAAATTAACTTACTCGTTTGGAACTTTTGAGAAGCTTAGGGGAGACTTTGTAGAGATCTTCATCTATTGGTTTCACAGGTAAGGAATATTTTTCCGCAACAAAGTTTTCTAATTTGAGAGATTGTTTTTTCGGTTGGTTCTTCTGAGCTGCGGGCCGAGATCTTGGTCGATCGATCAAGTTTTCTACCTTAAACTGTTTTGGCTGATCCTTGGAGAGGGAGAAGTCCTTGCCAATTCCACTTGTCTGTAATATGTTCTTCAATGCATTAGAACTATACACATTATGCAATAGCAGAGTAGGAAAGGGGAAAATCTTCAATGCATTGAGCCACCAAACAGAGGTTTGAAATTATCGGTTCAAACTTCAAACGGTCTATTCTATACTCAGCCCGTCACGATATTCCCATTAACTATTATTGTATTTAATTCCTTCAACTTACAAAATGCAATTAGTAAATGTAACATCCACTTTAGTGGTGGTGTTACAAACTCATGAATGGAGTTATGAGTAGAGGTTTGATGTCCTTATTTATTAATAGTGTTGCATGATGGTGCTTTTGTGCATCTTGACAATGAGACACGACAAGAAAAAAGAATTGAGTTTATATCATCAAAAATAATCTTTAAGTTCATTTTCTCTTATTGAGCCGAAACCATCGTAAGGCGGCTCGGGTTTTAGAGAGTGGAGGATACATGCAACTCTAGGAGCCACCGGATCAAAGATACGGACAAGTTTCCGTTTCCGTTATATATATATATATATATATATATATATATATATATAAGATTCCTCCGGTATTCTTTTTATAAACGAATATATATATTATATATATATATATATATTTGTTACATAAATTCATTCTCATAATTAATGAAGTGTTAAATATTGAAAATAACATTCATGAAATTGTGATAATGAACATTAGCTAAAGAGAAAATAAAAAAATAATATAGGGGAATAATTAGGTTTTGTGGCCTGAGTAATATATAAATGAAGATTTTAATGATTTTATCAATCTCTATTATATCTTCTTATTTCATTTAGATTATTTGATTGATGATAATATTTGTTATTATTATGGCTTTTAAATATTTATATGATACTAAAGTTTACCATTAAATAAAAATCATTTTGAAATTGTCATATTTGTTATTGTGATGAAAAAAATAAATAAATATTTTAGTAATATTGTGTCTTCTTCTTATTATTATTTAAATTATGAAAAATAATGTTTAAATAATAAAAAATTATTTCATATGATACATGAATATATGTTATTCATGTTATGAGAACATAAATATCTTTGTAATGTTTATATTTGTCTTTATTTGTTAAACAATAACATGAATAAATAAATATGTTTCATTAGAATAAAGTTAATTAAATTATATTTATTTTTAGTAGTGTTATTTGTGATGATTGTGAGCTTGGCAAAATTTTAGAACTCATAACATAAACAAAAAGAAAAATGATAATTTAATTATATTGACCTCATGCCCAAAATTCATTTTATATACTTGTAGATGACAACTAAATGTATGATTGGAGATTTGTTCTCCAACAAAAAGCTAGATGGTACAAATTACATCTGGCATAGAAAGATTCAGTATCTTCTTAATGAACACGAGATTTTGAAAATCTTGTCCACTATTGAGCCAAAGGATACTGCAAGGTGAGCAGTACAAGGAAGAATTGGCAACCTATCAAGAGTGGTCCAAAAAGGATTGATTTGTACGCTATATTATGTTGTATTGCATGCATAATGACCGTATTAGAGAGTTTGAAAATTGTCCCATGGCTAAAGACATGTGGGATAAGCTTAAGATGGCAAAAATCGACTACGAGGCTCCGTGCCTTGAACTAAAAGTAGATGGATTATAATATGGATCCTAAGCACTTTGTTGCCGACATTTGCGTGTCATGAGTGCCATGAGGGACGAGATTTATCTGACGAGAAGCAAGTTTTAAATGTGGTTCGTTCACTTCCAAATGATTATGAGAACTGGAAAACTTCAAACTCATCATGGCTCGTAGCGAGAACATTAAAAACTTTCAAAACTCACTAAACAGAATGAAATGGATGTAGAATATCAGATAATATCAGTACCTTCCAATGTTGCATTTGTTGCCCATGGTGGTCAAATCAAGAGAAATAAGCGCAAGTCAAGGAATTTTCTCATCCTTCTCAATATTTATGGATCAAATGGGGGTTCAAAGAAACAACTTATGGCACACAGCCAAAAGAAGAAGAAAATAGAGCGTGTGAATTGCTATAATTATGGACAGAAAGGTCATTTTTACTCGTGATTGCTCCTAGCCGAATAAGGTACCTTCTGCCACTAACTCTTTGAACTATATGTTAGTTTCTATGCATTAGTTTCTAATTACATTCCTAACTGGATTATAGATACGAGCGAGCACATAGTTCATGAAATATCTGTATTTGTGGAGTTCCACTGATTCTATATTGCACTCAAACTTTCATATTAGGGAATAAGAGCGACGAAGATGTCCTTGGGATTGGAACATACTAGCTTAAATTCCATGGTGAAAACACATTACTCCTGTATGATAATCTCTATGCACTCGGAGTGTGAATAACTTTCAGGTGTGGCCTTGTTCAACTTGGTTTTTCCTTTAACTTCAATGCTAATTATTTGCACATTTTATATCAAGAAAATTTTTTTGGCCATAGTATTTTAGATTAATATTATACATATGTAGTAAAATTAGAAACTCCGCCTGATATAAACTCTCTAAGAGTTTATAGTTGACTGTCTCAAGCCAGTGTAAAGGAGGAGGGTTGCGTTAATTTGGCGGTCGGCATAAAATTTTGCCACTCTCATGATTACATGTAGTAAAATTAGGAAACAAAATCCTTAAACAAAATGTTTTTGAATTTTTTATTTTCATCGTAAATACCAATGGTATTTGGTAATATAAAAATTTATATGGAAACTAAGCAGATATTATAACTTTAATTATTTGATGTAATAGTTCTAAAATTTTAGGGGAAATGAACTTATTGTTTAAGGAAATTGGTTGGTTGTTTGGAGAGTACATATACAAACAATATTAACTAGTCATGGAAAAAATCTAAACATCTTTCTAAGGATTTTGTTTCATAATTCTACTACATATTTACAATTCAGATCTAAATAATATTTAAATTAAATGTTTTCAAATTTACATTCTATTAAAAAATTAAATTTATTGACTTTGCATAAATATAAATTATTTGGATTATTTTTCTAATTATATTTACAATAATATTCTTCTGTAATAAACAATTAAGATAAATATAAAAAATTGTTGTGAATAGTATTGTATAGTGAACTTACCACTATTTGAAAACAGTAAGGTGATGATGATAAAATTTTTGTGAAGGAAATTGTAACTAATATCAGTAGAAGTTCCTTATAAAAGGCAACCCAAATAAAGTGAGATAATACACATACAGAGAAAGAAGAAATAACTTTAGTATAATTCATATCTGATTTTTATATTGAGTTATTTTTCTTTCCCGCTTTTATAACACGTTATTAGCATGAGCGCTCTATCCGGTCAGAAAAGTAGGAATATGCTAATCATATATATATGTATATATATATATATACATATATTATATAAAATAATAATATTTTACTAATTTATATATTACCATTATTATTGACAAGTAAGCTCTGCCATAGTCAATAATATGTAGTATGAATATACAAAATATGACATTTTATTAATTTCCATATTGTCATTATTATTAACAAGTAAAGTTCTGCCAGTGGTAAGATGATAATATTAAATTTACATATGAATTACTAATTATTAAGAAAAATAACTTCCAAGTTATAATAAATATAAATAATATTACTACTTGTACTTAACACACACAAGACGGTTGACTCAGTAATGTGGCGTGAAATATATAACTGCTTAGTCTTGTACCCTCCACAATAATTATTGAGTAGTGTGGAGTGACATTTTATTTGTTTTGTTACTTGTATTCACTAAAATGTTCACTAAGTAACTCGGAGAAATTTTAAGTTGATATGCATGGTTAGTTAGACTTTTATAATCATGAATGATATAATTAACAAATATTATATCAATAATATGTTTTCAATGGCTACTTAACTGTTTTCAATCTATATATATATATAACACTACACTTCATATATTAACACACATTCCAAAATATTAAAATATATTTTCCTCAAAAGAAAAAAAAATGGTTTGACATATGTATTAGGTCTTTGTCTAGTGTGTTTTTTATTAGCTGTTCTAATCGATTTCAATGATTATATATGTATTTTCTTAAATCTAAACATTGATATTGTATTTTGAGAAATGCTATAGGTACATAATATTGTACATAAGGGTGTACATAACACTCACATCTAGTGGGACCACCAAAAATAGAAAATTAAGTGGGTCCCACTCCATGTGAGTGTTATGTACACCTCTATGTGCATTTATTATGTACATGTAGCATTTTTCTTGTATTTTATAGTTACCATGTCAAACTTGGTAAAACTTGAATTTGAGGATATCTCTGGAAAAATTATATTTCGTGAACATTTGGATGCAAGGGGATTAGGAAAAACAGTTATTTCCCCATGATTCATCTATATAAGATAAAGTTAAAGCAATGATATTTATTCGACATCATATGAATGAGAGATTGAAAAATGAATATTTAACTGTAAAAGATCCTGCGGATCTTATCTTTGGAAAGCCTAGAAAGAAATGTATGATTATAAAAAAAAAAAACAACAATTCTCCCTTGGACTCGTTATGATTGAATGCACTTACACTTCCAATATTTTAAAACTGTGAACTAGTACAATTTAACAATGTTCCGGTATTTGCTCAGTATTAAAATTATGCGGGTAAATCATATCTGATTACGATATGCTAGAAAAAACATTGTCCACATTTCATGCATCCAACGTACTTTTGCAACAACACTATAGAGCAAAAGGTTTTGCGAAATATTCTGAGTTGATTTCTTGCTTGTTGCTAGCTGAACAGAATAATGAGCTGATAATGAAAAACTATGAGTTAGACCCACGGGTTCTACTGCAGTCCCTGAGATAAATACTATAATATCTAGACAGGGAAACATAAATGAAAACATTCAAACACATGTACGTGTATATACCTCTAGACGGCCAGAGGTATATCCACGTACATGTGTTTGAATGTTTTCATTTATGTTTCCCTGTCTAGAGATTATAGTATTTCTCGCAGGGACTGCAGTAGAACCTGTGGGTCTAGATTCATGGTTTTTCATTAACAACTCATTATTCTGTTCAGCTAGCAACAAGCAACAAATCAACTCAGAATATTTCGCAAAACCTTTTGTTCTATATTATTGCTGCAAAAGTATGTTGGAGACATGAAATGTGGACAATGTTTTTTCTAGCATATCGATTATGATTTCCCCGAATAATTTTAATACTAAACAAATGCAGAACATTGTTGAATTGTACTCGTTCACTGTTTTAAAATCTTGGAAATATAAGTGCATCCAATCATAACGAGCCCAAAGAAAATTACTGCTTTCTGATTATCATACCTTTCTTTCAAGGCTTTCCAAAGATTCGCAGGATCTTTTACAGTTAAATATTCATTTTTCAGTCCCTCATTCATATGATGTCGCAGAAATATCATTGCTTTCGCTTTATCTTGTATAGATGAATCATTGGGAAATAATTATTTTTCCTAATCCCCTTTATCCAAATGAATTTCAACATCTAATATCCACGAAATATAATTTTTTTCAGATATATCAAGCGCCTCAAATTCGAGGTTCACCAAACTTGTCATGGTAACTATATAATACAACATCAATGCTTAGATATAAGAAATTTACATATACAGTCATTCATTATTGAAACCGATCAGAACAACTAATAAAAAATACATTAGACAAAGGCCTAATACATAAATATAAATTAAGCAGTATGATACAACATCGTGAAAATTCCTAACCCGTATATAATAACCAATATAATGGTAATTATAAGTGATAGATCAAACATTTTATTTCTTTTGAGGAGAATATATTTTAATATTTTAGAATTTGTGTTAATATACGAAATATAATGTTACATATATATATATATATAGATTGATAAATAGTCGTTACAAAAGAACCGTTAAGTAGCCGTTAGAAACATATTATTAATATAATATTTGTTAATTATATCATTCATGATTATAAAAATCTAATGAATCATGCATATCAGTTTAAAATTTCTCTGACTTACTTAGTGAACATTTTAGTGAATATAAGTAACAAAACAAATAAAATGTCACCCCACACTACTCAATAATTCTTGCGGTGGGTACAACAATAAGCAGTTATAAATTTGACTCCACATTCGTAAGTAAACCGTTTTGTGGGTGTTAAGTACAAGTAATAATATTATGTATATTTATTATAACTGGAAGTTATTTTTCTTAATCATTAGTAATTCATAAGTAAATTTAATATTATCATCTTACCACGTATACTATTCCAGAGTCTTACTTGTCAATAATAATGGCAATATGTAAATAAATAAAATGTCATATTTAGTATATTCATACAATAGACCATGACAGAGTCTTACTTGTCATTGTCTTACTTGTCAATAATAATGGTAATATATAAATTATTAAAATATTATAATTTTATGTAATATATGTATATATATATATAGGATTAGTATATTTCTACCTTTGTGATCGGGTAGAGCACTCGTATTGATAACGTGTTATAAAAGCGTGAAAAATAAGTAACTCAATATAGAAATCGGATATAAATTATATTGAATTTGTTTCTTATGTGTATTCTTCCACTTCATTTGGGTTGACTTTTATAGTCAACTTCTACTGACATTAGTCACAATTTTCTTTACAAAAATTTTATCATCATCACTTTCTATTTTCAAACAGTGGCAAGTCCACCATACAATACTGTTCACAACCGTGCTTTTTAAATTTGCACTTGAACTTAAATAGTTCCAAAAATCACGCTTTTTAATGAAATTTTTCCTTGTTTAAAAATGATTAATCATTAAAAAAATGTAGCAATGGAGGAGTATGGTCCATTTCTTCTCCATATATATAATTCTTTATTCGCAAGGATCGTGTTAAGTTGAAGAAAAGAAAATTTTGTGCTTTGATTAAGTTGTCCATGGTATTCCTCAAGTCAAAATCCAAAAGTGAAAGTAAGAAAATAGATGAAAAAAGGTTATTGAGAGAGAGCGAGAAAAGAAAAAGGTTGGACCTTCCGCGATTTCTCGTAAGAAGCAGCGCATTCTCCGGAGCAGCTGCAGCGAAGAAGGCCGGCCTGCCTCGCACAGTCGAAGTACTGAGTTATCGGCATCTCGTTTGCATTTTCCCAGTCGCCAAAAGCCGGAATTTGCCCGTTTTTCCTGCTATACGCCTGGAAATTTAACACTTGTATGTTTATTAATTTCTTTTTCCAGATAAAATAATTAAAACCAGGAAAAAGAAGTGGTGTTGATACTCGAGAAACGAGATTTGGATGGATGATGCTGCTAGACTTACTGCGTCCATGGGGAAAAATGGCAGAAAAAAAAAAAACAAATTAAAAATATAAAACGAAAAAGGTAATTTGTAACTGGGGATCTATTGTTAACTAAAACACTTGTGGACTGATGGAATGTTTCTCTTTCTGTTATCTGCACCGACAGTTTGAGAGGTGTGTGGATATAGATGGGTTGGGTGAAAAATGGTCAACTTCTAGGTATGTGTGTGCACATGCTATCTACAGAAAAATAATATTAAAATATTTTTTAAAGTTAAATATTAGACTAAATAAAAAATATAGGTTATTTTTGAAAATTAAATGTTGAATTAAATATATTAAATTATTTTTAAAAATTAAATATTGAACTAAACGAATAAATTAATTAATTGAATAAATATAAAACTAATTTTAAGGTACTTTTGTATGTATCATTTCAAGGTATTTGACTGACAGATGAAGATATTGTATAAAGTGCGAAATATTTGGGCGATAAGATATGCGACAAACAGACAAAGATAATTGATAAAATACGAAAGCTATACGACAAACATGCTAAGATAATTGATAAAGTACATGATATTTATATGAAAAGTTATGCCACATACATGCAAACATAATTGACAAAGTCCGAAGCTATTATGCAATAAACTATGCGATAGACATGCGAAGATAAACTATAAAGTGCAAAATATTTATGAGATAAACTATGCGACAAACAAGCGAAGATAGTTGATAACGTGCGAAAAAATTATGCGATAAACTATGCGACACACAAACGAGTTCATTGAATTGCCAAATCATAGTGAAAAGTATTAGAGATTTTAAAGTAAAAATACATAATCGATTCGAAATGTAAAATTTTAGCTGAGATTTTAAAGCAGAAATAGATAATCGATCTAAAACATAAAATTTCAAATTGAAATTTTTTATTTAATCAGTTTCGGTCGCTAGTGTGCATTCTGATAGTCATTAATATTAAACTCGTCTAACACTATTGTGCACCCACAGCGCATTCCTTTTTTAATATTTTTGTCCCATAAATTAAAATTGAACTGAACTAATCGGTTTATTTGATCAGTTAACCAAACTACCATAAATAATCGAATTGATTTATTTTTATGCTATAAAAATATATTTACTATTTTAATATTTATATTTAATATTTTATGTTATTTTTTTGGTTGAAATTACATAATAATAGAATATCGAAATTAGTAATGTGTATTTCCACAGATAATAATGTGCACTTCGTCTAACATTATTATGCCGTCTAATGATCGGTGTATTTTGTAAGTGCATTTCGATTTTTGAAACTTTAATAAATAATAATTCTCGAACTCATTATTGTGCTTTTGTCTATCACTATCGTGCAGTGTGTCATTCACTAATATTCATATTATTTATCACTATTGTGCAGTATGCATAGTGTGTATTTTTGTGTGTAAGTCCAAATTAAACCCGAACAAAATGAGGTTTTTTCAATTTGTTATCCAAAATAACCTAAATAATTGACATAATTATTATTTATATTATAATAATATATTTATTATTTTAATATTTTTATTTAATAGTCTTTATCATTTTTAGTTGAAGATACATAATACATATATTGTACATATGTATAAACAACAACAACAACATACCAAGTATATTCCTAGCAGGTTGGGGTCTGTGGGTCAGTTGTACGCAGACCTTACCCTTGTAATTATACAAGGAAGTTGTTTCCGTAGCGACCCAAGGTGCATTGCGCCGTTTGATATATTTTTTTTTTCTAGAAACTTCACTAATAGAAGAAGCACTAGAATTTAATTGAGCCATTTTGATCTAGTCCATTATTAGCACTATGTCAGGAGAATTGTCAACAATGACTCTTCCAGCTCTATTTGCAATGGACAAATATTGTACATATGTATAAAATAATATATAAAAAATAATATTTTCAACAATTTTTATAAATTACAAATTTGAAATTGCAATTGGGAACCTAAAAACTATCTAACTTTTGAATGCATGCCCTAGACACATTCATATATTTCCAATCCAGAGTCGGATCCTCGACCACCGCCGCCCTTTGCCTCGACATTATCATCGCATCGTCTCGCCGCCAATCAATGTTTTGGAGGTAATTGTTGTGGACAAGCTCCAATTCGTCAATTTCATTAGGGCACAACTGGGGTCAAAGCGACTTCGACAGCGGAGGTAGAGGAATCGGAGCTGACAGGCCGCGGTGTGTGAGGAGGGGATGACGACGCCGTTTGCGTGTGTTGGTGTGTGTTATTGTGTGTGCAAGTGTGTGTACCACGTATGTGTGTGAGAGAGATAGAGATGGTAGGTGGGATGGTGATTTGTAGTGGCCATGTGTCATGTAATTATTAGGTGTGGTAATTGATATGTGTCCTCCAGTTTGATAATGTCCAAAAAACTCGTAACGAATATATAAATATTGTATTTTTTTATTACCGTTGGATCATCTGATATGATGGCTAAGATTTATTCTTATTTATTTCACTTAACATCATCTTACCGGAACGCATCCCTATATGTGTGTGTATATATATATATACACAAAAAAATATATATATTCTTCATAGCAAAATTATTATAAATATAATAAATATTATAATTTTATTGTTGTCAAACAGTGATATGACTCATTAGAGAAGGAAAAAGAAATTTGCAAGTGTGGAAAGAAATGCAAGCCATGGTCTTCTATAGAACTCTTGAAAACTAAAGGCATATGCTAAAACTGAAGGCAACACACCAAAAAGAAAGAAAAGAAGAAAATTTCCAGCCCCTTAGGATCCTCCATTGCAAAAGAATAAGCTCTAGTACTATGTATTCATGTCCTGTACACTTAAATTAATTCTAAAACAAACAAATTCTCAATATTTCCATTATACCCCCTCACAAGCAACAATCACCTCAACTTCCTCAGTGGTATCGCCTTCCCAAAAAGTTTCTCCACTTCAGTGGCCTCCATTTTCAGCTCACTCAGAATATCCATCTCCTCTTCGCTCAGCTCCTTTAGGAAATAATCTTTATCCTTAATAAGCTCTTGAAACCCTTCGGACAACCTTTGGAACAAAGTGACTTCTGTGTCCTTCACTCGCTCAACTTCCTGCTCGATTTCCTTCACTTCCTTGGCGATTATCTCTTCTCCTTCCTCCACAGTCTTCTCCAGTCGCTCCACGAGAGCGGGCTCGGGTCCACATGTGTTGTCCGTCATTATGAATTTCTTGAAATCACGGCCCACTTTGCGGGCCGCCTCTTCCAGTTGGGGAATGATTGTCTGTGGCATGACTCGGGCCCGTGTGTAGACCACGGCTCCACCATACCCATCCCACGCATCGTTTCGGCCTCGGTAGTACACGAATATGTAGTCATCCGGCTCGTTTTGTACCTTAGACGAGAGAATGTACCTATTTTATTTGTTTTTTAAGAAAAAAAGAAAAACAAAATAGGAAGGTTAGTTCTAGAAATAGATTCAATAGCATAAATTTGTTTATCACGTCGTGTTTTCATCAAACGCGTTTGATGAATGACACGTCTACAAAAATGAATATAAAAGTGTAACAAGAAAATTTAATTCAGTAATTAATTTAGGGCGAATCATGAGAACTAAAGAATCACAAATGTGACTGAAAACAGTACTGAATCATGCCTCATTTGGTTTTGATACTAGCTAATATAGGACTAAACTGTTTAACTGTTCCCAGATTAGGGCTTTTGAATTATTCGACTGCTATTATTGTAATGTTCGGGTTGATTGCAAGACATACTCGTTATTCAATCTAAGTGCATAGTAGCATACTTCAAAACTACAAGAAGATGCTTCTTTCTATATATAAATTTCACCCTAAAAAGAGGTGGTCAAACATTGAAAAAATAACAAACCTCCATATGTTTGTACAATTAATACTGAATCATTTTATATACAATAATTATTGTTAAATTTTGAATTAATTTTTGTCCCACGTCGAAAATCCCAAGGGTAGTTTTCATGATTAGTCCCCTCCTTTTTTTGTCCTTTCCTAAAATTTAACACACCGAACTTGATCCAATAGTGCAATAACTTACTAAGAATATATCTGTAAGTAACCAATCTTATCTATGAGTCAAAGTAAAAACCATACATAGATTTGTAACTGAGAGTAAAACAAAAATTGGTAGACATACCAGTCGTCTTGGTAATGAAGGAACTCGTTGTCATGATTATACAATATTCCTGGATATTTCGGATCTTGCATGAATTTCTGCACCGTTGATCGAGTGAAAAAACCAGTATCCGGAGTCTTTATACGCCAAGAAATATTGCCCACGAGTTTGTTGGACTCTGTATGGAACTCATGTAGTTGGCAATCGAAAGTGTCAAATGTGGGATTTAAGCCACTCGTTATAAACCACTTCCCGTTGAAATCATTGATGTTGAAATTCTGCACCAGCACAGCTGGATCAGGTGCAGGGAATTCACCTACGTCCGATTTACGAGGCACACATTTCTTTCTTGAAACTGCACACTCGTTGAATTCGTCTACTACGCTATTTTCGAACAAGTCTCCACACTTTATCTGCAATAAAAAGAAATTAACAAGGAAAAAAAGAGACAAAAAATTACTAATGATCAGAGTCAGTTACCTGGCACTCGGTTTCATCGGGTCTGTTATTACAGGTCTGGAGACATGCAATATTAGCGGCACATGAAGGGTTCGCAATGCACTTGGCAAGCTCCAATCTGTGCAAACATCAGCATTTTTTTTTTTAATGCAGCATTTCTATGAGAAAAAAGAAAACACAAACGAATATGATATTTCTAAGTGGCTTACTATGAAAGTGTCGATCATGGTGCTATAATTTATCCTTTTGACAGGTGAGATTCATAGAATCATGTACAGGATTATAAATGGTAATAAATACAAAAGCAACAGTTGAAGTTCGGCGCGCTATAGCAAAACATGTTCCAAACAATTTGTAGAAATTACAAATGCGCTACTTTAAACACTAGGAAATGAAATAAGAAAATGTAAGCATATAACATTTTTTTCTTGGTATATAGGTACTTTTGATCATTGGCATTAATAAAAATAACTCCTTCATGTGAAGTACCTGCACTCCTTGAGTAAGCAAGTACAGGTTTTCAAAGCATCCACAGCATCAGCCTTTGGAATTATCAGCAGTGCCAATGCCAATAAAATTGCAGCACCATTGACATAACCCCATTGCTTCCATGAAACAAGTCTCACCACCTCCCGAAGATTTATTTTTTTTCTGGTCTACAAAAGAGTTATGTTAATAATAAAATAGATATCCGACTCTTTGTTTTTCAGTTATGAGTAGTTAATTCGATAACATGTTTTAGACTAAAAATATCCCTCCATATTGATTTCTTTTGAAAAAATTGCACCTCAAGAAGAAGGTGCTGCTTTTTTTAAAAGAAAATGGGAATTTCATGCAAGCACTTACGATATTGTAACTGAGTAAGCATAATTTTGAAAGGTAATGAAGTTCTGCATCAGTAGCCACAATCCTAATAGCTAGTATTTGCAAATTAATGCACACATGTATCATGAAAGAAGAGGATCGTCACAAGATCAAAAGATCAAGTCATTTTAGTGATCGATTTATATTCCTTTTAAGGACAAGGTCTAAACCAATAAACTCTTGATCGAACATAACTGATTAAAGCAGGGGTACTTGTTGTAATATCAATAAAACAAAGAAACAAAATACGAGCTAGGATTAGAAGTTACCTCAGTTATAATCGTGTTAATCCCACATATCATTTGGGCCTTAGTCTTTCCTAATGACAAGTCATTCAAACATCTTGAACTCATCCTCACCGATAGATTGCCATTAAGATAAGCTCGACCCCACTTATATCTTTCACAACTAGTCAGTGGTAATTTACGTACCGAGAGAATTCGCTCACCATTTGAAAGTAACCCCGAGTGAAAATGAAAAGCCATGTTTTAATCTGAGGGCATATGAATGTCACATGACAATGTCAAATGTGCTTCCCAAAGCAAAACTCCAAAAGGATCATATTTGTTAACAAGTAGCTTCAAAATGTAATGAGGATTGCAGTGAATTGAGAGTATCTAAATAAGGAGAGGAAACTTACAGCCACATGAAATTGAATACTACATTATTAATAGCATCAACTTTGAAGTATTTCATTTTTGTTTTTTTCAGATTAAAGAGTGCTAAAATGAAATAATCAGATTGCTAATTCAACAAGACAGACATTTTTTCTTCCACTCTGCATTCCCAAAACAAAAGGAAACAAGAGAAATTCCCAAAACCCACAACAAAAAATTTCCAGTAACACTTTTGGGCTTTGCTTGACTATGCTTTTGTGCACAGAACCCACAATTCAGACATGTATTTTTTTTTTTCAAGGCTACAAATTCGAATCGAACTTGCAGAAAAACTCAATAATTCACAACTTTGCTCGTCTAGACAAACACCCAATCAAAGAACATTGTGGTAACATAGGACGTTAAGTTGAGTTATTTTCATTTTCTACAAAAGCCCGCTTGACTTGACACAATTGTGAAACTTATTATACAAAGGAAACATCGAATTTATTCTCAAGAATATAATAAACAGAAAGTATATAACACACAGAGAGGAGGTACAAAGCCACAGACCTTGAACAAAGTGAGAAGCTTGTACATTTTAGTCACGCATCAATCATCATATCATATCTCGAGAGTGGGGGAAAGAAAGAAGGGTGACGTGTGGAGTTGAAAGCTAGTGAAGCTGGATAAGGATTCTTGCGATTTTTAAGCCTGCCACGTTGGCTTGTGTGAGGCTTGGGTGTGCTTGCACAGTAGCACTACCGTGTGCCCTAGCACACCTAGCTTAGGTGTGCCGGGACAAATTTACACGCGCCCCTCACCTCAAAAAACTAGAAAATTTAGAGAGTGTAGTGCATATTCCCATTTTTCTTTTTTTAATTGAAAAATGAGACATATTACATAAATTAAAATATCATTAATTATTTATATTAAAAAAATAAAATAAAAATACCAAAATTCATAATTTTTCATTATTTATAAATAGAGACCACCTTTGATAGGTTTTTGAGCACAACTAATTTTTCGTTTTTTCGTAATTATTTTATTATACTGACATATAATGACCATGTTACCTAACAAGATGAATATGTTTTCAAATAAGATGAAAATGTTACAGATTGCATATTGAAATAATACATTTCATCTTATTTTATAACATGTTCACCTTATTGTGTATGTAACATGTTCATCTTATTCTATAACATGTTCATTTTATTATGTAACATGTTCACCTTATTGTGTATGTAACATGTTCATCTTATTCTATAACATGTTCATTTTGTTATGTAACATGTTCATCTTATTCTATAACATGTTCATTTTATTATGTAACATGTTCATCTTATTCTATAACATGTTCATTTTATTATGTAACATGTTCATCTTATTCTATAACATGTTCATTTTATTATGTAACATGTTCATCTTATTTTAGAACATGTTCATTTAAATTTAAAATGTAACATTTTCATCTTATTGTATGACATGTTCATCTTACTCTATAACATGTTCATCTTACTATGTAACATATTCATCTAATTATAGATTTGCGTCATAATCTTCCAATAAGATAGATTAATTGTAAAAAATAATAAATTAATTGTGTTCCAAAAAATATCAAATGTGGTCTCTATTTGTAGAGAATGAAAAATTATGAATTTTGGTATTTTTATTTTTATTTTTTGATACAAAATATGAATGATAATTTAATTTATATAATATGATATATGAAATTCATTACCCAATAGAAATGGAACACATGTCTCATTTTTTTAAAAAAAATACTCTACCTCATTACCTCACGCGCTTTTGAAGGATCTGTATTTCACAAAAGGCCCTAGCACACCTAGCAAGGTGTGCCAGGGCGCACCTAAATATTTGTCGTGTTTGCATCACTGTTTGAAATAGCAGCTCGCTATATTTCTTTTTTTTTCCAAAAAAGCCCGACGTAACTTTATATATTTAACTATTTTTCTCAAAATGTGCTTACGCGAAATGTTGAAATAGAACACATTTTATTTCAAGCTATTTTGCGCTAATTTGTATAAAATTATGCTACGTAATTTGGTTTGGATAAAAAATAATGTTATTCTAAATCACTAATTTTAGGTTCGGACATTCCATAAATATTGAAAAATTAACTTGGATAATTCCATGATACTTTGACTAATATAACCTTTAATTTGTTTTGTAACCTTACTTACTGCTATTTATGTGACTAATATAGCCCTAAAATTTGTTTTGAAATCTCTCACTTTTCCAAATTGAATGTTACAATCAAAATAATTATTATATCAAATACACATATATTTTTATATATAATATATCCTATTATTCATGTTTTCATGAATTTTTATTTGACATCTATATTATACATATTAAATAATTAAATAATTATATTTATATTTATAGTTAAAATTAAATTATCTATTAATATTAATTCAAAATAATATAATTATTTAATCTGACTTAACTACAAAGTAGTCATCTGATATAAATTAGAAAATATATAATATAAGATGGTAAGTCGTGTAAGTGACGGTGTCAATCTAAATATAATTAATCATATATTTTTAAAAAAGTATTTAAAAAATAAAAAAAAAATCGTTATTATTATTTAATTTGAAATGTAATTTTGTTAACAAGTACCCGTGTAGTACACGTGTATTGTACTAGTATCTTAAATAAAACATACTACCTCCTATTATTTTTAAATATCATTTTGACTTTATCAACCATTAATCAATTAAATGACGGTTTGGATCTTTGTACATATTTTTCTATTATTACCCTCATTTAGTTAATAAATACACTACGATCTTTTCATATTCAATCTTCATATTCTCTCAAAACATCCATCACTATCTTCATCAATGAGGGTTATTATTGGCAAAAATAAAATCTTAATTAGTGTGCAACTTCTCAAAATGACACTTATTTAAATAGGAGAGAGTATAATATTTCATACCAAATATTTTCTAGAATTTTAAATAATATTACAAATTCTTTTACTTTATTATTAATTATTTTACTTATAATTTTTGTTTCAAAATAAAAATTTTATTTATTTTTACTCTTTGTTGCACAATTAATTTTTTATTCAAACACCCGTGTAGTTCACGGTGTTGTAATAGTATTACAACCGAATAGAGGTCGTTTGGACACCACCGCCCATCTACGAGCGCAACGCGTAAAGGAAAAAAAAAATATGGCTGCATTTGTTTAATGGCTTTTTGGCCTAAAAAGAGCTGTTTCATTTATTAGTTGTTTGACTTTTTTACAATCAGCTAAAAAAACATGTTTGGTAAACAACTTTTACAATTAGCATTTTTGGCTCAACCAGCTAATGTGAGAAACGCTGCTTTTGCTAGCGTTTGATGTTGGCGGNAACTCTTAATTTTGCTTACTTATACCACGTGGACATAAACGAGACAATCTCACAATTATAGAAAAAAATCATATTTAATCAAAACTTGTGCACTCCTTGTACTTTTTATCCAAACCTATAGCAATAAAATATATATCACATTTTTCATATTTTAAAAATATAAATAGTATTTATTTTTTCAAAATTTTAATTAATGAACATAAGAAAAATATTTATAAAATGTCATTCCAACTAATTCTTGTATAATACTTAACAACTAATTTTACCAACTATTTTATACAATTTTAAACATATATAATTTTACTTACTTAAATGTAAATGGGAACTTTTTAAAAATTGTTAATGTAAGTTTTAGTTACTTAGATATTATTTATTTTAAATAGTGATGACTTGTTATTAGGTTTGTTTATATGAGGTGAAATTATTTACTCAGTTAAGAAATATTTTTATAATTATTATTTATATTTTATTATATTTTAAATCACTTTAATAAAATTATTTAAATATTAATTATTTTTATTTTCTAAATAATTATAGCTTCAACATAAATAAGAATAATAAATTATGTTGATGTCCTTATAAGTAATTTTACATGTTACCAGCTAATTGAAATAGCCAATTTTACTAAACACTCCTCTGCAAAACAGCTAACACAATCTGCTGGTCAAAAAAGCTAATGCAATCCGCTAACAACTATCAGCTAACCGTTAATTACCAAACAAGGCATATATCTGACTCAACCAAGATATTTCATTTACATCCAAGTTGGAGACTTCGATAGGGAATTATATTAAATACTTAAAATCATTAATTAATAGATGAATTTGAGACTAAAGAATTATTGGGCGTAAATGGAAACATAAGTATGCTTGTTTATGAAATAATTCATTTCACATTCAAAATCTAACTCAATTTTAACTCAACTACACTATCATTTATATTATTTATATAATTAAATATTATAAACCAATCATTCTTACATATCACATCAACTTTAATTCACTATTCATCCACTCACATAATTTTAACTACCTATCATTTCTAATCATTTCCAATCATTTATATCTTACTTTTACATTAAATTATTAATAATTATTTTATTTTAAATATTATTTTAATATATTATTAAAATTCCACTAATAATTAATCATACTACATTTTTTAAAATTAACTCTAATTAACTAAAATAACTCATTTTGAATGAAATATTTCATAAACAAGCACGCCTAAAAAATTAGTGGGTTAATTGTGTAAGTTTTCCTTATTTAGATGGGTACTGACTATTAAGTTGGGTTTGTGAAAGAGCTGAAGCCGACTAGCCCCATTTTTTCGTGGAATCATGGAGTTGGAGTTAGAGTTGGAGATGGGATCGATACCCCACCACGATCGCTAGCTGAAAAGTTTGAGAAAACCGTAAGAATAGAAGAAGAAGAACCAACATCAAAAGAAGAAGAAGAAGAAGAAGAAGAAGAATCATCATCAGAAGAACAACCACAACAAAAACAAAAACGAGTACCACGCAAAAACAATCCCTCCTCTGTAATCTGGGTTGAGCAAGAAGAACGACCCGAGTATACCTATCAACAACTCTGCTTTGAGATAACCGACGAGGTGGCCAAGGATTTCATCCACCAAGTCCACGAGAATCGGGTACGCTGTTTCGATTCATCTATCAATACCATCTGTTTCGTAAGGGTTTTGGGGTTCTCAATCTAATTTGATGTTTTGTGTTTGGGAACACAGCACACATACTAATAGAAAATGAAAAACGTGTAGAGATTGATTGTTGAGGATTTGATTTTCAGTTTGGCGAGTTTCCGTGGCCACCTGATCTTAATTGCCCACTGTACCAATTTGGGTATATTTCTCGGTTCACAATAGAGTTGAAGCCTGAAGATGTGGAATCTATGGTGGCGAAGTATTCGATAAAATCGACGCCTGAAGAAGTGAAACGTGCTAAGCGATTTCTAGAGCAACTCCGGAGCAGCTGGGTAGCTTTAATTTCTTTCTTTCACAACTTTTTGATTAGAGCAATTATATATATTTATATATGTTTATTTGATGACTGGTTAAGAAAAGAATGGGGAGTCCAGTGATTAGCTAATAGCAGTTGGATGATTCTAATTCTAATTCTTTTTTGGTGGAATTCGCTGTGGTTGAAAATATCTGTTATGTTTTTGTTCCTTGTTTCCTACTTACTAATATTATACAATATTGCAATAGGTTGATGAAAGTTGGCATGTGTGAAAATGCAAGTGAGAAATGTTAAAGTGTTTGTAATTTCAGTTGTTTGCCAGGGTTATGATCTCGATTGCATTCCTCCTCGTTGGTTGGGCTGTGCAGTTTTCCCCATAGAGCTGCAGCAACGTGCTAGTCCAGAGGAAGCAGCTCAGGCAAAGGCAAAGGAAGCAGCTTAGGCAAAGGAGGCAAAGGAAGCAGCTAAGGCAAAGGAAGCAGCTCGTTGGGCAATAAGCAAAGTCAATAAAGTGGCTGGGGTATGTATAATGTAATGTGGGTTTGGATGGATTACTAGTTAAAAAGAGGTGGTCATGATTTTTTATGGTTCATTTTTTCAGGACATAGGCAAAAATGACATGATGTTGGAGCTTAAGAGCCTGGAGAACGCTGTGAGGGGCCTCTTCAGCGTGTATCTTGTGAGCTTTACGGTGAAGACTGTTTTGGGAGATGCCATAAAAAAAGTGAGGGCAACGGTTGGGTTTGCGCCGTCAGCTCCAGCTCCCATGCTGATGGAGTGCAAGCTTGTGCCGTAGTTGACTTTCCTCCTCCTCCTACTACTACTATTACTCGATGACTCCATTTGGCATTTTTAATTTTTCTGGCTTTTGTGCACCTTTTTATTTTGTTTGGTTCCCAGACTGTTTGACTCCATCTTCGTGTGGTTGTATTTATTTTTATTTGACAAGATCATCATCTCATATGTATTGCTGGTTAGGGTGTGCTGAATTTTCTCTCTGATTGAACTTATGAGTAGTGGGAATTTGCACCTGACTGAATATAGAAGATTCCTACATGATATAAGTTCGACTGCTACCATGGATATCTCCCCGGACCTGTGGTATAAGCATTTATTAGGAACTACCAATTTTTCCTGAAAAATAAAACAAATGAAAGTACGTTAGTTTTGGATTAATTAGTGTTCTTCACCCCTTCAGATGTATGGTGTGCGCAGTGAAAGTCTTCCTCTTGATTTCTGCATCTAGAAAATAGCCAAACAACTGACTCAAAAAGTTATAGAGCTGATTCTAATGGGAGACCAAACCCGAAGGTTGTCTAGAAACCACACTACTAAAGATTAAAGAACTCACACACCAAAAATGCCAAACTCCTGTCGGAGTATACTGTAGATGCTCGGCTTTGTAATTACTCCTAATTCCATTTTGAATGAGATGTGTGTCTTTAGTCAAGTTGATGTTCGTAGTTTATTTATTTATGCGAGCATATTTATTTAACATAGTAGATAATGTGTTTCGATGTGTCGAACACAAAGATCACATTATCAGTGCCTTGTAAATATAATTATTTGTTCATGGCCCTGACGAAATTCAACTAACTGTCGGTAAAAGTTGTAGTGTGATTTTGAGTTAGTTGATCTTTGACTAATAAATCACACTGGTACATCTCGTATGTATTGAACGGACCTAGGAGAATTAAATTATTTTAGTTTGACCAAGTCAACAATCTAGACCTCAGTAATTGTTGCGTTCTCTTAACTCGTAAGACAATAAACGGACATAAGTCAACACTTATTTGATTTATCAAGAGTGATACTTATTCTGTTAGTTTTTTTTTTTTTGAAACGATACAGATAACTATTAACTCAAAGAGACGGGAACAATGTTAGAAAACGCAACAACAACCGTAAATCAAAGACTGAGAGGACACGCATAAATGCGGTCTAGAACCTCAACAAACAACTAAAACCAAATACGAAAGCGGATCTATAGAAAACTCTCCACTGCTAACAAGCCTAGAGAGTCCTAAGAACCACCTATACAGACCAACGCAACTAACCAACAAAGACCCAAAGCAAACAAAAAGAAAGCACAAAACAGCAACTTGAAGCTAAGAAACCAAAAGTTGAACATTAAATAGAAGTCGAGAACTCCAACCAGTCCTTGTGAGCAATGCTGACAAGCTGGCATGCTGGGATTTGCAGTCCTTGAAAAGCCATAGGTTGCGGAATTTCCAGAGCCACCAAAGCATGTAGGTTGCTAACTGGATTCTAGCTTCAGCTGTCTCTGTTTTATTCATTGCACAAATATGTGTCCACCAGCATCTGAATGAGAGAGAAGAGGCTTCATACTATCCCATGATACTGGTGCTAAGTCCCAGACCCTGCAAGCTTTTATACAAAGAAAAAGAACATGTTCAAGTGTTTCTGGTTCAGCCCCACAAGACTGGCATGTGACATCAATGTCCAATCCTTTTTTCCTCATATTAGTTTTCACCGGTAGAGATCCAGTCAGACACTTCCAGATGAAGTGTTTGATCTTACCGGCAATTTTTAAGTTCCAGCATCGAGAGAAGCCAAGGTTGATGGTACCTAAATTGGAGCTGCAGCAAGGAATGTCTAAAGCTAATAACTTTTGACTGGAGAGAAAAGCATAAGTACTAGCAAAAGTGAACAACCCTTTGTTGTCAAACCGCCAACGGATCCTGTCAGCTTTGCCTGGCTTAATAGTATTGATGTTGAGAATGACTTTGTTGTCCCGTGGATCAAACACTTGATTAACTAACCATGAGTTCCACCCAGTTCCAGAATCATTCAGAAGTTCCTTGACCCAAATTAAGTGCCCTCTGGCCAGCTCCATTAAGATAGGCTTGGGCTTTGAAAGAGTTTGTACTCAGTTCACATCTTCAATTCTTGTTGTCTCTCCATTTCGAATTTCCACAACATAGCCTTTAGCAAATGTTGGCAACACATCCAATCAGTTGGACCACAACCAAGAACGGTTTCGAGATTTGGTAGCTTCAAAGATAGAGCAATGGGGATAGTATCTGTCCTTTAGAATCCTGTTAACCAATAGGTCTGGTTGTGAAGTAATCCTCCATAACTGTTTTCAAATAAGGGCAGTGTTAAAATTCTTAATATCCAGAAAGCCTAAACCTCCTTTTTCCTTAGGCAGTGAAAAAGATGCCAAGGATTTCCAGTGAATACCATGTGATTGGTCTTCTCCCATTTTCCACCAAAACTGGGAACATAGCTTGGAGATATCAGCGCACAATGAGGCAGGTAGCCTAAAACATGACATGGAAAACACTGGCAAGGCTTGGATGACAGATTTTATTAGTACTTATTTTCCAGCAAGTGACAAAAGCTTAGACTTCCAATTTTTCAATTCTCGACTTCACTGTTTCCAGAACAAATTGAAATGCCTCTAGTTTTGACCGACCAATTCCCAGGGACAGACCCAGATACCTGGTTGACCTATGAGAGGAGATACCCTGCAAACTGGAGCATATTCAGTCTTGGAGAATTTGAGGAGTATTCCTACTAAAGAAAACGGCTGACTTCTAAAGGTTGACTTTCTGTCCAGAGAACAACTTGTACTTATGCAGCAATGTGAGGAGGGTTGCAGCTTGATCAACACTTACCTTATAGAAAAAGATGAAGTCATATGCAAATAGTAGGTGTGATAGAGATGGGCCATTTCTGGATAGCTTCAATCCCTGCAATAGACCTGATTCTGAAAAAGCAGAGACTAAAGCAAATAGCAGCTCAATAACAATAATAAATAGGTAAGGGGACAAAGGGTCCCCTTGCCTTATTCCTCTGGAGGGATGCACAAAACCACTAATTGAATCATTGACTTTAAAGGAGTATGTACAAGAGGAGACACAGATGATAATAAGATGAACAAACTCCTGGTTAATACCCATTTGAATAATGATTTTCTTGAGACATAGCCACTCTACTATATCGAAAGCTTTCATCAGATCCAATTTTAAAGCTATAAAGTAGTTCTTCCCAGAAAAATGTCTGTTTAAGAAATGAAAAGCTTCCTGTGCAATGATTACATTATCAAGTAATTGCCTCCCTTTGATGAAAGCAAATTGGAAGTCACTAATACAAGCAGTCAGACATGCTTTAAGCCTTAGAGCAAGGATTTTTTAGAGGATTTTATGTACAACTGTACAGAGACGGATTGGTCGGAAGTGAGAGAGTATTTCAGGGTTCAGTTGTTTAGGCACAAGTGAGACAATGGTGTGGTTCCAATATTTGAGGAGCATTCCATTATAAAAAAAATCTTGATATTGCAGAAATAAGATCAGGTTTAATGAGGTGCCAGAAATTTTGCAAGAACAAAGTTGTCATACCGTCTTCACCGGGGGCCTTGTCTGGACTAAGACTAAAGAGAGCTTCTTTAATTTCATCTTCAAGAACTGGTTTGAGCAGACTCTGATTCATGCTTGGTGTGATGGATTGAGGAATGAGGTGGAGAATGAAGTCTCCTCCCCAAGCACCTTCTGAGGAAAAGAGAGAAGAGTAGAACCCAACAATGTGTTCTTGGATATCTCTTTGAGATGTGCATTCTCTATTCTGGTCTGTGATGAATCTGCAAATGACATTCTGTCTCCTTCTCATCATAACATATGCATGGAAGAACTTCGTATTACTATCTCCTTCTCTTAGCCACTGGATTTTGACTTTTTGATGCCAGAAAGCCTCTTTTGCTTGATGTGCTTTCTCCAGCTCCAATCTAGTAGCCATCTAAGAGTCCCAGTGATCCCCAATGTTGTTGTTTCTCAAGGTATCCAGCTTAGCTGTCAAGTGCTCAATTTTGGACTGGTTCTGAGACTTAAATTTCGAGCTCCACAAAATAAGAGCTTTCCTAGTGCTCTTAATCTTTTCCTTCAATTGAAATAAAGGAGTGCCTGAATGAACCACCTCTGATATGTCTGGATTGAGCAGCCACCTTTTATCAAAGTGGAAACGATGTTTGATTCTCTCCTTCAGCTCTCTAGAGTTCAATAACAACATTGAGTGGTATGATGCACTTTTGAGAAGCATTTGGGTATGATGCTAGCCAATCCGCAGAACCAAATGTTCTATCTAATTTCTCCTCAATGAGCCCTTCATTTGATCTGTTGTTGCACCACGTAAATTGATAACCTATCATCTTTATCTTCTCCATTGACATGTTGTTGATGAATGCATTGAAATCTGCTAAGCTTCTGTCACTTCTGTGTATGCCTCACAGCTTATCATTACTGAGGCAAATATCGTTACAGTCACCGATTATGAACCACTTAGCACATCAAAAGCCTTTTTCTATCTCCTGACTCTTCCATTGTTCAGTTCTTGTAGTAGAGCAGGTACTTAGATAGACAAAGATACTCCAAGAAGAGCTGCCATTCTGAATAAAGAATTCAACTGCTATATAGAAGTCCTTAAAGAAACTCTGCAAAATATGTAGATCTGAGTTCCATATAAGTAAGAGACCACCACTAGTTCCTATAGGGTCCACCAAAATAGATCTGTTTTCATTGCCTAACTTCCTGACAACCGAATTCACAAACATCAAGGACTTTTTAGTTTCAGACAGAAAAATAAAAGTTGGGTGGTGAGTTCTGATTGACTCTCTGATTTGGGAAACTATAGAGGGCCCACCCAGCCCTCTACAGTTCCACACCGCAACTAACATTGGACACTCGGGTGCCAATCAAGGCTGGCTACCCCCACCTTATCAGAAGAAGCTTTCAATTTCTTACTCTCAACAATGACAATTGATTTACCTTTGTTGATGTTGGTATGATCATCTGTTTTTGGTCTTTGCCTTTTCCCAGGAGCAGAGAAGTCCCTTGTAACAAGACTAGCATTTTGTCTTTGGAGCCTGCCCTCTTTGGTTCCTACTCTTTTCCATGTTCTGGTCAGTGGTTTTTGAGGCATCAATATGTCATCTTTTCCAATGCTGGCCTGATGTGGAGAAATCCTGGTTTGAGAAACATCCAGTTTCATGGTTTTTGTAGGCTCATTAGTATGGTGATCTTTAACTATGTCTGAGAGAATCATATGAGTGGTGCTCAGAGAATGGATTTTCACAGGAGATCCAGTCTGCTCGCAATTTTCCTCCTCTGGAGATTTAGAGAGATTGGAATTTGGCAGCTGCTGTTGAGCCGTGTCACCTTGAACCATAACTAGTTGGATGTTATCCTCCACTAGGTTGGTAGAAGTTTTCAATGGTGATTGTTGATCTGGGGGAAGAGGGTTGTCTGAGGGTGAGCCCCTTGTACCAGAGGCACTCATACCTGCCCAATGTTGCCCATCTATGGCCCTCATCCAGTCACCACCTGACCTTCATTTAAGGATTTGCTGCTTATGTCCTCCATACACTTTGAGCAACCCCTGTCTAAATG